AATTCCACCAAAAATGTTGAAATGTAGGAAAGACTATGTATTCCTAGTGGATGAACTTAAAAACCGTTATATACAATATAGATGGGAAGTCCCAGCCGGATTAGTGGTGAATTACTTGGAGCGAGACATCGTTTCAACTCAGTTTGGAAGGCCAGAGATTTTTATAGCAACGTATTAAGGGCTGGTTACCCTACATCTCCAGGATTTAGAGCAAGGGAGCAAGCAGGAGAGGCCAGACAGCAAGATACCCAAGGATCATTGGATGTGGCCCAAGCTTTGAATCTTCTTGAAGTGGAAGTGCGGCTCTGATATCTTGGGTGATCTCAGCTGGTGGTTCTCCTCCCTGAGCCTTCCCTTGCACACTTGCAGCCAAATGTACGTATATTCACAGATTAAGGAACCATAAACTGGATCATCTCTTCTCGACCAATATTAAACTGTGGTTTCTGTGATAATGCATCCATTATGAAGTTTCGTCCTCCTGGAATATATTTTAACTGGAAATTAAACCTATGGAAGTACAGAACCCACCATACCTGCTTGGATGATAATTTCCATGGGGATTGGAGACCCTCCAGGTTCTTATGGTCTGTCCATACCTTGAAAGGGACCACAGAACCTTTGAGTAAATGTCTCCACATAAGCAGTGCCCACTGTACTGAGAATGCCTCTTTCTCCCATATAGTCCACCGTCTTTCGGTTTCACTCAATTTGCGGGATATGTAGGCACCTGGCTGCAACGTTCTTTCCTCATATACTTGAAGTGGAACAGCTTCCACTGCTACCTCACTAGCGTCTGCCTGTACTATAAATTGTCAAGTCGGATCAGGGTGTCTCAGTACTGGCTCCTGTGGAAACAGTTTCTTTAGGGTTTCAAAAGCCTTTTTACATGTTATATCCCAATGCAAGAGTTGGCTTGGATGGGATTTTCTCATCAAATGCCTCGTTTTTAACAAATTGGTAAGTGGAAAAGCTACCCTAGCAAATGATGGAATGACTTGGTGGTAAAAATTAGCAAATCCTAGGAAGGTTTGCAATTGCTTTTGAGTTTTGGGTACCTACCAATCCATTACTGCCTGAACTTTGCCAGATCCATTTCAATTCCCACTCGGGAAACTCTATAACCAAGATAATTCAACCTTGTTTGTGTCTCTCTCTCTGTGTGTGTGTGTGTAAAGGTTTTTTTTTTCATTTTCATAACATATAATCACATGTATACTATTACATAGTTAACATCGTATTGTATTATTAAATGTTTACATCAGTTCATCTTACCATCAATTCCCAAAAACAATTATTGGCTCTTCTACTCTCCATACACCATATGTATCTTATCCATCATTTTTCCCTCTCTCCTCCTCCTCCCTACCTCCTTTCTTCCCTCTGTCATCCTTCGCCACTTCTGCTTCCTCTCTTCTTCTCCTCTCTCCCCTTTCCACTCCTTCTTTCTCTCCTCCTCTTCCCCCCCCATGTCCTCTCTCCTATCCCTCTCTTCTTCCCTTAACTCTCTCCTCTACTTCACACTCTTCATCTCATTTATTTGGTATATTTCAGCTTCTGAGTGAGCTCCATTTTATGTTGATGGTATTTATAATTCCTTTTCAAAATACATATTTAATTTTAACATATATCAGAGAAATACAGATATAGTCACTGTGCTTTTAAGCCTCCCTCCCCCCAGCCTAATTTTGGCCGAGATGTAGACCTGGCTACAATTCCCAGCTATTCTTATCATTATATTTATATAATTATGCATCCTCACCCCCACTTTGTGATTCTGTCTTTAAATCTCAATAGTTTCACATTTTAAATATATTTCATGTTCCATCTCTATTTTTCCATATCTTGGTTTAGGTTACCCTTAATTGTCTATAAATAGCAATCCTTACTGTTCAATGTTCATTACAATTCCCTTAATCCACTATATAGAATAACAAGTGGTACACATCTCACTTTGTTCATCATCTTAGAAGTTCTATATTTGTCCATGTTTTGTATATTTTAACCCATGCTTAATTGTTCTTCTATTGTCATATTCAATCAATTAGCAACTCAGTTTAATTATCATGTATAAAANCAAAAGCATTGAACTGAGAGATTAAATATTTGTCTCAACGGATTGGGATGAGTGACATTCTCGTTCCTACAGAGACGGCTATTCTTTAGGCACAGCTACAGCTTTTTGTCCTCCTCCGGAAGCCATCTCTCATGACATTTGCAAGCCAATCAAGAGTGTGGCTTTGAAAACCTGCAGCATGATCGTGCTGCGTGGGAGCAAGTGTCTCTCCCCAAATATGGAGGACGTAGTGAGCAACGTGTATGTATCCTAGAAAATCAGTAAGACCCACTGGCAGCCCGTATCTGCCACGGCCTTGCAGCCTCTTTACATTGTTAAAGATAATTTTTTTTAAAAAATTGGGATTTTTTAAAAACGACGTGGGACAAAATGTGCAAAATCGTGACTGTCCCACCAAAAGCGGGATGTCTGGTCACCTTAGTATAGTATTAGATGGCCCCGGACATGGCTGGACCAATTTAGGTCATGAGACTGGGGTTGATACATTACAGTCTGCTGCTCTGTGACCAGGCTTCCCATATCGGAAACACACCATTGGTGGCCTGGCCAGTATGATCTTCTCTGCTGAATCCCAGTGCAGCAGCAGGGGTCCTGCGGGATTACTCACTGTATGGTCTATGAAGCGGTGTGGCCTCAAAAACCCCTCGTCTTTTGGTTTTAGGTCTCTCTATTCCACCTCTAATTCCGTGGCGGCTTGATAACAGGCCCACAAACGCAGTGATAAGCCCCAATACACAAGCTTATTGGATTGACCTATCAAGCACCTTGAATTGGTGTACCAAAAGTCTTTCTGGCCAGGCCTGCAGTTTCCCTAATAGCCATCGGAAATCCCGGATATACTCTGCACCAGACGACCCTTCTGGCATAATGCTATCAGCTCCCCCTCCGCTCTTTGGATGCAGGTTGGATCGTTAAAGTAGTCCTGTAAGACATCCAAAAAGAGACCACAATGTCACAATTCTGAACAATATTCACTGTAGAGGTCTGTTGCCCAATCTGCAGCTTCCCCCTTCAGGACTGCTGCGATGACCATTACCATTGTCCACTGCGAACTGTATAAATGGCCATACCAGTCCATATGTTCAATAACCTGACCCAGAAAAATGGCCACCTTATCTGGGCTACCGTCAAAGGACCCAGACAGGGAGGTGGGAGTTCCCACGGTCCCACCATAGCCTGGCTCTGTCCACTCCCAGTCTGCCAGGTGTACATCGGATGTGGGCTAGCCACTACAGGTTGTGTCCAGCATTGGCTTTTGTGACCAAAAGTCCTACTCAGTGAGTCTCTTGAGGGTTGAGGTAGATAACTCAGTGGCAACTAGCCGCTGACCCTGAGCACTTCCACCACTCATCCACAGATGCCGTCAGTTGTGTGGTTACAAGTTGGAGACCTGGCTCTGTTGTTGGCCTGGAGCTCCAATATGAGAGTACCACGCTGGAGGTAGCTATTTGATTAATCAGTTGACCCTACCTCCCACTTGTACTTCTGTTCCACTTCCATCCATATTATGGTAGTTTCCTTGTGTATTTTTATTATTGTATTCCTTTGATATTGTTATGCTTATTTATTATATTTACATTTTTATTTTTTCCATTTTACTGTTGTAAGGCATCCAGAATAACTCTGGCAATATGGGTGGAAAATAAATTTAACAAACAAATAAATATATTAATAAATCCATAAGTAAAAATGGAGCAGACAAATGAATAACTATTGCAGTTATGAAACAAGTATGCAGTTATAGGTACGTGAACACATAGTATTTGCTTTTTTCCTGAATCAGATCCATATCTTCTGATTCCATCAAACCATCTCCATTTAGCAATTGAAGCAATATTTCCTGCTCAGATGCTACTTAATAAGAAGCACCTGATACCAATTTTCTAGTGCAAACAATGGGTTTTTACAATGCAATGAAGTTTTTACAGTGCTTGTTTCACAGTTTTCCTTACAGAGTTGTGACTTTTTCTACATATGTACTTTTCCTGAATCTCTGAGTAGATTTCTTACTTGAATTATTGGTTTTGTTTGTTTCAGCTCTTTACGAACTCTCCTGTGAAGCATATAAACATTTGGGCAAAACAACAGGTTCTTACTGGATAGATCCAGATGGCAGTGGTGCACTGGGACCTTTGAAAGTTTACTGCAATATGACAGGTAACTGTACTCTGTAATGGAACATTTTTCTTGTTTCTAACAGGTCAGATCCTTTGTTTTATATTGTAAATGTACTACAGTATATAAAACACTACAGTCACGTTCTTTCTTCATAAAATTATGAGAGAAAAAAAAATGATCATTCTAGGTAATGTTTCCTAAAAGAAAAAGTGAGGCTTTTTTTGTTAGAACAAATGCTATATATTTCATCCTTCAAAACAAAATCAAATCTGTGGCCAACTCCAAACCAAACATCTGTAGATAGAAAAAAATGAATCAGAAATTCTTCATTTGGCTGGATCAAATATTACCATGGATGAGCAAGACTTCAAATCACATTAGTTCTATGTTCTAATCATTATGGGACTCAGATTTTTAGCCAACTGTTGCAAGCCAAACATGTAAGCAGAGTAGTTCCTTTTTCAGATCAAGCCATCAGAGAAATGATGGTATTTCTCTGCTCGGCAATACTGTAATAGAATAGCAGTGTAGGCATTAGACTAAGTTGCATTATGTCTTAAACATGACAGCAATAAACATGTAATTTTCAAAGGTACTAGGCTTCTTTGTCTTCTGACATGATATCACAGTGCTTGTTACTGTCTTGCATGTGACATGTGGGGATTTTGCTTTGGCTCTGCCAAGTACTCTATATCTACTGATCAGGACGAAAATGTTTTACTTATTGTTTTATTTTGTATCCTTGTTTCACTTAATCAACTAAATATAGAAAGAGAAAACTGTTCTTTTCTGTTAGTCATACTGTCTATAATTGGCATCTAGGGTGGAATTTTAGTGCTCCAATGGTAGCATGAGATATAGAAAGTGAATTTTGTGTTATGGTCTGTTAAGTGAATAGATAGAAGAAATGGAAAAACCATGGCTGGATTAAAAAAAAGTGATGGGACTGGGAGCAACACCTGACTTCCTGATGGCTTCTCCTTGTAGAAAGCTTGCAGAGAATATTTGAAAGGACATGATTGTGGCTGACTGCCACAGAGAAATGGAGCAGCAGCATGGCAGCATCAAGGTGGCCACATCTTTGCCAGATTTCTATCCCATAAGGATAATGGATCTCAGATTTTGGACACATTCCGTAAATTGGCCCATCTGAAGTACATGGATTCAAAAAATGTCATCCTGTAATGCACTCTTTGGTTCAATTGACAATTACATATAATTAAACTTACACAACAGTTTTAGTAGTAATAGTATATACATATTTGAATAAAAGAATATTGAAAATTCTTGGATTATATTTTAGAGTAAGGCAATAATTTCTAGGTTTCACAAGGATTCTATATGTATTCACCATGAACTAAAATAATGAAATTTTCTCTTTATTCTTTGCTGAAAAGCAAGAGTTGCTTTGAAACAAAACTGTTTGTTTTATGGACTTATTTAGGCCTGAAAGTGTTTCACTGTGTAATAAATGCATGTGGAGATTGTATTAGCCATTTACTTTATATTTTGTTGTTATAAAGATTTTCCCCTTCATCTCTGTTTTTTTCAAAACAGATTGTGCTTTACTGGTTTACGCATCATAATGTTCAAAATTTCTTTGCATGAAAAGATGTACCTGTCACCGTATGTCTAGTAGAAACTATTCCCTCTAACTGATCCTCCTGAATTATAAGCTGTCTCTTTACTTACTCTTCTTCAAAGCTCTGTTGGCCTTATGAAGTAAACATTTTAAATAATAACTCCTGGACATGTCACATCAAACCTGGTTGCTTCTTGCTAAGAATACAATTTGTCAAATTGACAGCTAGTGGTGCTAAAAATTAAATCATCCAAACTATGAGAAAAAATATATTTTAAAGAGGGTTTTCCAATAGGCATTAATGCTTGTATTGCCTTCTTGCTATTTCTCTTTTTAAAATAATGCTTAGTTTTACCAAATTATCAACTCAGAATGGATTTATATTAAAACAAATGGGTTATTTACTATATTTATGTTCTTGGTCCATTCACAACTTATGGGGAAGTTTTTTGGTGTTTTGTTTTTTTTTGTATTTGTAAGCTACCCAGAATCTACAGGAGTAGGTGGCTATAATAAATTTAAATTACTGATTTTGAAATAGTATGTTACATCCATATATTTATGTGATTCTTAATGAGAACCATAGTAAAAGGCAAGTATGTTTAAGAAAGGAGATAAAAGGAAGAATTCAGTCCTCTGTGCATCTCTAATTAGTCTTTGGGGATAAGACTACTTTAATGATTAATTATCTAAATTAATTATAATTTATCTGGAGATACAAGCAAGTTTACAGCTCTGCAACTGTTTGTATGAAAAATTCAGGACTCCTTGCCTCCTCTTGTTTTCTCTGCCAGATGCTATTTTGGAAAGGAATTAGTCAACAACAAAATGAGTTCCAGGAGCCATCCATCTTGCAATACACATATGTGCATATGTACATACCTGAATACACTGTACTGATGATGCAAACCTTTTGATGCAGCTGAAAATATCTTCTTAACTACTATATAATGCTACTCATCCTTAATTTTTAAGCCTGAAAAACTCTGGCAGTTTATAGATCCCAGGATCCCCCAATCTCTATTGTGCTTTTAAAAACTGAGCACAAAAACATAATAAAAATATTCTGTTTTTCCCACAATGCTATTTTGTTTGCATTGTTCCTCAGTTTGTTTTCTAATTAGAAAAGTGACCCACTAAAGTTTACATTGTACTTTACACAACTGTAGTATAATTTAAAAATACCATTGTTATATATATATAACTGCAATTTTCCTCAAATTAATTGATTTTTTATTAGGAATATACTCCTTTATTTGGTTAATCCTGTGGATTTGTTTCACAGTGTCCTCATTGATAGATAAACTGGCTGATAAGGTGCTGGCTTTGTCTTATCTGCATGTTGATTACTTCCTGTGTTAATTGATGTATAATAGGATAGCTTCCTGCAAAGGCATTGTTCTCTTTCTATGGTTGTCAAATTGCAGTTGGCTCAGTTATTAGATTGTTAAGAAAATGGCTTTAGTTTATGTAAGCATTGACTTTGTGTTCTATGATGGGAAATGGTTGTCTTATATTGACGTGATGTGCTAATGTTGGACCTTGGGTCAAATCTTTTTAATTCCTAAATGAGGCATAAGTCTATCTGTGCTGTGTACTGCTACTGTAGGTGGAAAGCCCCGAAGAGCTCAAATACAGGTTAGGACAGTGGGCAGGCAGGTGGGCCCTCTGGAACACCATACCGGAATGGTACCCGGTGCTCCCAGCAGGCATCAGCACGCCCATACTGGGGTGTATTGCTTGTAACCCACCACTGGTTCACACTTTGCCACTTAAAATATTTAAAGTCATTTATAAAATACGCTGTAGCCCTGGCCCTTTTTGGAGAGCAGCCTCAATTTGATGCAGTCATTGAGCCAATCAAAATAGCTCACTCATAGACTGAATACTAGATTGAAACTCAGACAATTGTACCTTGGACATTATCATAGGATATGTTCTATAAGCACCCAAAAGTGTCTGTGATAGTTTGCTGAATAAAAAGACAAGATGGGTACAAAATATTTTGCAATTGATCTATAATCAAAGTCAGAACATCTCACTAATATAGGAAGTGATCAGTGTAAAAAAATATTGTAAAAATAAGTTGAAATGTGGGCTTTTTTTAGAACAAAAAGCCTGCTTCCAGTTTTTCAGGTGTATGTACTTGGTTGTTTTGTATTTTTATGTCTATTTAACATAATATAATTTAAGAAGTTAATTTTATCAAATATTACTTCTTAAAATATTAGTCATAAAAATTATATAGAATAATTGTGGGTATTATATTTGGTAAGTAATATCTGGAGATAAACCAGAGACCTATTGGGTACTAGAAAAAAATAGCTTTCTATTCTAAAAATTTGGCATCTTGTCCACATATATGTTTTGCTTTAAGATCCATTTAAATAAATAGATAATAGGGAAATTATACTTTTCCTTGCAGCTTTTTAGAGTGATCCACTTCTCACTAAGAACCTATATTGGAAAAGACAGGCAGAAGTTGCTATTTTGTATCTCTGCTTGCTGAACCACTGAAATATTTAACAACGAAGTTGGGTTCTGCAATTTCAAAGGCTGTGAAATATGTGAAGAAAAAAAATAAAATGTGGGGATAATAGTAGTTGTATTAGAATATTAACAACTGCTCAGAACAATTTCCAAGAGAGTGATTCCAAAGAGAAGTGGTCAACTTCCTTTTATTGGACAAGCTCACCAGAGCTTAACCTTTATCTGCCTGGGTTGTTTCATTACAGATTCTTCCAGTAATAGTCAATGGTGACACAACAGTGTGCATGACTTGGGAAATCAAACTCCTGCCTCTTTTTATATGCATGTAATCAGAGGTGGGTTCCTACCGGTTTGGACCGGTTGGCATTTATGGGGTTTGTATGCCGCCCACTCTCAAGAGACTCAGGGTGGCTTACAAATAAATATGTGTTTTTTGCTTCTATGCATATGCTTTGCGTGCATCAAGTGCGCACATGCAGCACATCCTTAAGTAAACCGGCAGTAGCAGCAGCCGGAACGCACCCCTGCATGTAATCTGTGTGAAGATTAAAAGGGAATAAGGGTTCAATCATAAAATTGCAACCCACCATTTTGACATTGTTGATCATCAATGCAGATGTCCCTGGATTCCTCCACTGGCCGGAAATTATAATTTTAAATTTCCCCTTCCAAATTTATTAGTTTCTTTGTTGTCCTGAAATTTTCTTTTAAAGAAAACAAAAACTAGTAATTATGTATACAAAACCAACACTAATCTTGAGGTCTTCAAAAAAGTGTCCAACTATCATCAGATCCACTACTTAAGCCAAGGTGGTGCAGTGGTTAGGGTGCAGTACTGCAGGCCACTTCATTTGACTGTTATCTGCAGTTCAGCGGTTCTAATGTCACCGGCTCAAGGTTGACTCAGCCTTCCATCCTTCCGAGGTGAGTGAAATGAGGACTCAGACTGTGGGGGCGATATGCTGACTCTGTAAACCGCTTAGAGAGGGCTGAAAGCGCTATGAAGCGGTATATAAGTCTAACTGCTATTGCTATTGCTAAATACTCTAAAGTATCTTACAGGATAGCAGGTTTATTTTGATACCAACATTGCTGAAAAAGATTCTGGGCTCTCACTTGACAATTAGCTGAATAAATCAAGTCCAGTGTTAAGCATGTTTTTTTGCATAACACATAAGCAAAAGTACTACTTATTGTAATTAAATCCAGTTCATTGGTTTTTGCCTGCTTATCATATAAAAGACTGAATCAGTCTTGGGAACTGTTGCACTTCAGCTGTGACTTTACAGGAAACACAAGTATGTAATTGCTAGCATTCTGCCTGAGATACTATTTCTCTCTTGATTTATTTCTCTATGAAGGCACAGTTCTGCCTCTATGCAAGAAGCCCACTCCCGTTTCAATAGCTCTGGGGGGGGGGGATGCCTCAGTGGGTCACATCTCTGCCACAATAGTTAACAATACAGAAGAATGTAGATCCCACATCTATTTGTTGACAATGTGTTCATTGAAAGTGGGATTTCAGAGACATTGACAACTCACAACCGATTGACATATTAGGATTTAAGGATGTATTTTTTTTGTCTTCTCTATGTACGTTATTCCTGCTCTCATCCATTAGATTGCTAATATTGGAGTCATAATTCTGCATTTGTCCCCAGCATACACATTATATACTGACTCCTCTTCTTGTAAGGTGCAATTGTGTATTCTAGTCTTTGCCTATTTCTATATTTTGTTCAGCGAATCTTCTTTCCATTAGAGTTATAAAACCTTCTTTGCTATCTTTGCTCAGCATAGATGTTCACTGTCTGGAAAGTCAGATACATAAACAAATTGACTTTCTACTGGTGCTTCACTTGGAGATTTTGTTCTGATGTTGTTTTGTTCAGCACTTCTGATTCTTCAGTACCTTTGACCTGCTTCCAGAAGTTTGCCCAATGCCTGTCCAATCTTTTTCTCCCCAAGATGGACCAATCCTGGGTTACTCCTTTGCCATTTAAGTCACCCTGACAGTTCTGTTCCTTCCAGCTCAGAAATGTTTTTTCCCCCCAGAGGATTACTTCTCTAATAAATGTAAGGGTTAAGGGTGTCCCCATTCTTTAACCAATATGTTTTACAAATATAACATATGTTTCTACACTGAGAGTAATAATAATTGGAGTGCCAAGATAGTTCTCAATAATTTTGCATACATCTTCAGCTTCACCTCTCCCTCCCTCCCCCTCTCTATGTTTTCCATTAATTGAGGTGGAAGTTAGAAAATAGATCAAAAATGTAATATACATGAGCTTCTACTTGCTTAATATCCTCAGCTACTGTATGGCATATCTGTTTTGCTAGGTGAATCCAGCACTCATATAAAATGCCATATGCCCTCATTAGAGACTTGTTACAGACCAGACAGAAGCAACAGAAGAGGTTTACATGCAGTCTTGCCTTTGTTTCTTATTAACTGTTGGAAGTTTATCAGAAAAGAGCATCCGGAAATGTATTTTTAAAATGATTTGCAAAAAGCACCATCCCTTGCCTATAATGGAACCTGGCTCATATCTTTTAAGTTGTTTTAACACGATGTGTCACCTTGATAGCAATTTTATTTTAAGTAATTTTGACAGAACTATTTGAAAAAGATTTGCCTTTTTTGATCAAGTACAATTTATATAGTGGATAATTTGGAATTTAAATAATGTCTTGGCTGGAAGATTTACAAATTAGATTTGCCATAGTGAAGAGTTGAGTTATGGGATGAAGAATTTTATAAAACATAATTAAGAGAAAGTGAAAATATAATGACATTGTTTATATTTTTTATGATAAGGGTGGACAACCATTTTTTTATTTCTATTTTTTCTTTAATTTGTTTTTTTGTACTTTTTATTTTCTCTTTTTATTTTTATTATCTGTTTTCTTTTGTCATTGTAATTAATACTTTTAATGTTTTTTAAAAAAAAGAATATCTTGAGTGAAAATTAGGAAACAGTCATTTTTAGGTTAAGAGATTAGAAGCTTTTAGTGAATGGCAATAGCAATAATGGTTTGCTGCTTTTTTTTCCTTTTTACAAAAAAAAGGAAGTACAGGTAGTGTTTGACTTGCAATAACAATTAAGTCCAGAATTTATTTTGCTATGTGATTTATTAAGTGAGTTTTGTCCCATTTTACAACAAGAGAGTTCACTGTCTGAGGAGAAGATATCAAAAGAACATATTGCACATAAGTCAATCAGTCCAATAGTTGAATTTTACTTTGATTCTGTAATGGGGCAACATCTTAAATCTGAGTAAAGTAGACTAGTTTGGGTTGCAGGAAATGCCAAATTAAATAAACCTCTGTTTTTTATTCCCTTCCTTTCTACAGATGAGGCAGCTCTCCCTCTTAATCTAATGGGGGATCCAGTCCTGCATATATGTTGTTGTATGATATTTAATTGAATCTCTATTTTTTATAGAAGAAAGTTGGAGATAGAGATTTAGATCCAATAAATGATGTTTGAAGGACTTTTTCTTTTTTTAATAGAAATTAGAAATAGAAAGATGCCTTTCCTCAGGTTTGATTACCAAGTTATTCATGATGGCAGCGTTAATGAAAGTTGTTCAAATAAAGTTACTAGGATTAATTTCAACAGGTGTCTCTGAATAAGGGATAGCAAGAACTTCAATTGTTGAATATGTTCTTATCCATTTTTTATGCAGAGGACAAAGTATGGACTACTGTGAATCATGACTTACAAGAGCATTTTCCAGTGGTAAGCAACAGACCAGAGAAGCATGCTGTGCTACAGCTTAATTACAGTGCCACCATGGATCAAATCTCAGCCATCACTGGTAGTGCTGAGTATTGTGAACAGTTCATCTCCTATGTCTGTAAACTGTCACGGCTGCTGAACACCCCAGGTAGGCTAAAAGTAGAAAGCTATTGCTGCCCTTATACAATTTTTCTTACTTGACCATGAGATCACTCCAGGAGTAAGCTAAGGATGAAATGTTATTGCTACTGTTAGAAAAATCTGTTCACTTTTGCAAAAAGTTTAAATCATAACCACAATAAGCTTTGAAATCAGATCTATTTATATAGTTGCATGAAATAAGTCGATTTATGATGGAGGATATTTAAATATAACTGAACATGAAAAAATCTGAACAGAAAAGTAGGCATTCTATGTACACCAGTAATTGTCATCATTCCTTCTGTATAAAAATGGTTAGTGTTTGTTTAGTCACTTAGTCACAGGTATGCAAAAATGTAAACATTACATGGGTTGAGACAAAGACATAATGTCCATATTGTGAAGAGCAGTATTCATGATAAACACTGGGAGTGAGAAAACATGTCTGAAATTTTCAGTCTTTTCACCCTGATGAAGAATTATGTCATCTTTTTTGTCAAGGGTGGATAATTTGTGCTTTGGGAACCATTCCAAAAATTGCTGAAAAGTGTATAACCATCAGCACACTCTCAAAAGCCAGATCTGCCCTTAACCTGGAAAAAGTTGAACATCTATGTGCTGTACTGAGGGGAGAAAGAAGCTGTCTTTAATTATTAAATTTTGTGTGCAAAACCAGCATATTTCCATTTTCAGAATACCACATTGCAATATATTGTCAATCTATCCTCTCTCATCTTAAAATGGGTCTAATACCCGCTACCACGTCAGACCAAAGCACAGAACTGTCATCTAAACAAATGCAGAAAACATTTAAAACAATCTCCAGGATATACAGATTTGTGAAATTTACGTATCAAAAACAGATGAGTTAATTTTGCTCATAAATAAACATATAGCGTAAACTTTAAAATAGTGTTATTTTCAATTTCATAATCCTAGCAGAGAGCTTTTAAAGAATGTCCTCTTGTTTTACTAAGAAAACATTGATTACATGTTTTACTTCCTTTTTTGTGGTAAACCATTTCAGGACTGAAAATGTTCAATATAAATTAGATATATTATTGTCTTTTTCTTCTGTCTCTTTCACATCCAGTAAGAGTAGAAAGGAAAATATCTTACAGTAGATCTTTTTAATACATTTTTAATATACATTGTGGGAGGGCAAAATGTGCATTTTACTATGTGGAATAGACTGCATTCATCAGTGAGAGTGATTACACATGGTTATATAATGAAAAAGCAGAAGCTAATTATTTGTGTTTCATTCAATGTTCATTTTTGTCTTAAACCCCTTTTTGTTTTCTGTTTGAGAATATAATACATAATGGTATTTCTTCCTATCTCAGATTACAAGTGTCTGTATAACTTCTTTTCTTTGGGGATTTCACAGATAAGTCACAATAGGCCAACAGAAAAAGATTGGTTAAAATTGGGATTGTTTATTATTTTGTGAGCTGAATAGTATTTGTGACATTATCAAAATAATTGTTTCTGCTCAAAAAGTAGCAGAATTCAGATGTTTGTCTTTTGATTGGTGTCACGTGTAGACATATTATTGTAGAACCACAGAAAATATCAGAACTGTTGATATCAGCCAATCAGGCACACCAAAGTTTTTAACCCTTGTCTTTGATTGCAGCAAATCTAATTCTAGGGGCCAAATTACCGAAGGGAGCAAATTAAACAATTTAAAATTAATTGTTACTATTAGAAGATCATTATGTTTATAAATAAGCCCATAGAAGCAACATTCATCTATTTTTTCCTCACTTTCAGTTAGTATAGCAGGAAGAAGGAAGAGAGAAAAATAAAATACAGTTATACTTTCTTAATGAAAATAATGTAGCCTACTGAAAACCCATCCATCTTTTTTTTTATTCAGCTTGCAAAGCTGACAAAGAGGGAAAGCAGACTGCCTGAAAATAGCTATGAGGAAAGAATGCTAAAACTCTAGATGTGTGACATATTGCCACTAGTTCATTTTTCTGATTATTCATATCTGTGGAATGGCAGGCACATTTCCATTCCACATTTAATAAAACTTATTTTTACAAAAGTGGGCACAACACTTCAGCTAATATTTATGGATAGGAATGTTTAGTGGACAAAAGTTACTAACGGAATGTAGGGATATTTCTCAATTGTTTGCTGTATTCTTCTTTCTCCAGTGTTTGAAAACATTTCCTTTTGTATATACTATTTAAAGATAATATTTGATATATCAATTGTTTTGGAATAAATATCCATCTGGTTCAGTTCCAAGCCGGGCAAAATATACTGGAAACATGGAGGCTGATTGGAAAGATGGTTTAATGATTAAGCAGAACCATATGACCACATGGAGTTGAGACTGAGGGGTATTTATGCCTCCTTCTCTTGGGCTTTGTACTTGAACTTCCTGTTCCTCTACAAGAACATGTATTCTATTAGCTGTTGTTAGACTCTCACAAGACCTTATACAAATCCTAGGAGTTTTTCCGAGCTAAATTTGGTTGAAATTTGAACTGCTGGTGGTGCAATTGAGATGATGCACTGAAGGGGCTTTAGGCAATTCCTATTGTGGCTGAGAGCTAATCCTACCTTTATTAGATCTTGGGTGAGGGTATTTACTTATGAATAGAGCTAGCTATCTCTTTATCTCTTGACATCTGCTGACGGCTATTAAGAAAGGTGGGGGCTGCTTTCCAAGAGTATGTTTCTCCATTTCTCAGCCAGAGAAATATAATATTCTGCCTTTTTAATATTTCTCAAAATATTTCATTCTTCTAGCAGAGGGGTAGTTGTTATTTTCTACAACTGCATAACAAAATATGTTTGATGAATAAGGACTGACCACTTGGCTCTGTCGTTGAGGCAACAACCGATCCCCAAGAAAGTCACTATTTTTTTGTAAACTCAATGGCAAAATCAAAAGAGCTCTTAAATATCACTTGAAGAGATGGCCCTGGAAAATCTTGCTTTTTCAAGTACTGCAAATTATTAAAATATTTGATTAGGTTTGAAGAAAGTACTCACAATTCTATCTTGTAAAACATGTTTAAAGTCTTATGACACCACCTATTGGATGAAACCTGGATAGATGAGAAACCAGTACTTTTTTGAGCCAAATATTGTATGGCAAAATTTGAACAAGTACAAAAGTATGCTCAATAAATGTATTCTGGTAGTCCAATTCTCAAATATCCCTATGTTTAACACTCTATCAATTGTTCAAGACTCACTCAATTTAGATTACCTCTGGAATCCTAATGGAGATTTTATAATCTCCAGCAGAAGAGTTAGAATGACCAACAGAATACTAGGGTTCCAAAAAGAAACAGTTAGAAACAGCCTTGGTGAATGACATATTTACAAATAATAATAATAATAATAATAATAACAACAACAACAACAACAACAACAACAACAACAACAATACAATCAAGGCCATAAATACCTGGGCAATACCAGTTATAAGATACACAGCTGGTATAGTTAACTGGACACAAGCTGATTTGGACCTTTTGGACCGAAAAACCAGGAAACTAATGACAATGCACTACAGTTTACATCCACGTGAATACGTGGTGATACTGATAGACTATACCTGCCCCGAAAATCAGGGGGCAGAGGATTATTACAAGTGA